GTTGAACTTTTGGGCTGGCTGGTTGGCTGTTATCTAGAGTGTGGTGTTGTAACACCAAGGTCAAGAGTTTGGAACCCGTAGGCCGGCCCGTGGCTCACTCGGGAGAGTGCGGTGCTGATAACACCAAGGCCATGGGTTCGGATCCTATATAGGGATGGCCGGTTGGCTCACTAGCTGAACGTGGTGTTGACAACAGCAAGCCAAGGGTTGAGATCCCCTTACCAGGCATCTTTGAAAAAAAAAAAAAAAAAGTTTGGAACCCGTACTGGCCAGCCGCCACACACACACACAACACATATATATGTATATATATAACTTTTATCAAATGCTTTTTCTGCATATTTTGAAATGATACCAAGGTTTTTCTGCTTTTATCTGCCAATGTGATGAATTACAGGTTTTCTATTAGTAAACCATTTTACATTTCTAGGATAGATTCAACTTGGTCATGGTAGTCTTTAAAAAAAAAAAAAAAAACCCACAACTTTTAGTGGAATATAGTGCATTTTTATGTACTCTTGGGTTTGCTAATTTTTATTTTTATTTTATTTTTTTAATAAGATGACTGGTAAGGGGATCTTAACCCTTGTCTTGGTGGTGTCAGCACCACGCTCTCCAGAGTGAGCCACCGGCCGGCCCTCTCCTTTATGAAGTCTTAATTGCTTTCCCCCCAATTAATCACAGTACTTAAAATTGTATAATCAGAAGTCCAGGTTTCTGATTGGTTGTTTTTGTGCAGATCGTTTGAACTGAGTCCCAGTTTACATCTAAGTAAACTTGCCTACTGATTGTATAAGGTAGCAGTTTGCAAACTGTAAATTTGTTTTGTTAGCAATGGGCGTTACTTATGCCCTTTTAGCCCTTGGCACTATAGCAATGATAGTGGGATCTTTTTATATTGTCTTTGTACGCTGTCTTTATCCCCAGTGCTTAGCAAAAGATTGGGCATACCGTAGGTTCCAAATACATGCTGGTTGAATATACCTATCAGGGAATTTAGAAGGATTAAGCCCTGTCTAGGATCGGAGATTAAAAGTGGGTCTTTCATGGAAATGGTACTTGAGAGGCAATAAGCAACAAAGAGGCGTTAATGTGTCCCTCTCTCCTTTCCAGGCAGTAGAACGAGTCCTGTACCCACACCTGTCCACTTACTGGACAAACCTGCAGGCTGTGCTGGATGATTATTCCGTATCTAATGCCCAGGTCAAAGCAGATGGGCACAAAGTCTATGGAGCCATTCTGGTGAGTGCCAGCTCCTTCCCTCCCCCTTCCCCGCGTGAGTTCAGCGGGCTTACTTTGGAATTCTTGATGGGCCCAGGTTCCTCTTCGTTCGTGCCTAACCTAGTCCCCTGCTCTTACAGGTGGCCGTAGAGCGACTGCTGAAGATGAAGGCCCAGGCAGCAGAGCCCAACAGGAGTGGCGGAGGCGGCAGGGGATGCCGGCGCCCAGACGACCTGCCTTGGGACAGCCTTCTCCTCCAAGAGTCTCCCTCCGGGGGTGGTGCAGAACCAGGCTTTGGGTCTGGCCTCCCGCTGCCACCAGGGGGCGCGGGGCCGGAGGACCCTTCTCCTTCGGTGACCCTGGCGGACATCTACCGGGAGCTCTACGCCTTCTTCGGTGACAGCTTGGCCACCCTCTTCGGCACAGGTCAGCCGGCGCCCACGGCCCCGCGGCCACCCGGGGACAAGAAGGAGCCTGTGGCCGCCCCGGACTCGGTGCGGAAGATGCCGCAGCTGACGGCCAGCGCCATGGTCAGCCCGCAGGGGGACGAGAGCCCTCGGGGCGGAGGCGGCGGGCCCCCGTCAGCCTCTGCGCCCACCGCCGCCGAGAGCAGGCC